GAGTTAGTAGTTGCCGAGTGTACGTCTCTGCCCCATAGATAGATCGAGGGGGCCCCCCGCCTTGTGTTTCTTAGGGTGCCTTTCCTGGGGGCCCCTTTGTCGGCGGCAGCCCTGGCTTGGATAGGGCGGGCTTAGCGGGGGCCAGGGGCTTCGCCGGCAGAGCTGGCTTTGCTGCTGCTGGGGCCCCCTTGGCTAGTGCAGGTAGAGGCTTTGATGGGATCACAGGCTTAGCTAGCCCGGGCTTGGCTAGCCCGGGCTTGGCTAGCCCGGGCTTGGCTAGCCCGGGCTTGGCTAGCTCGGGCTTAGCTAGCGCTGGCTTGGCTAGCGCTGGCTTGGCTAGCGCTGGCTTGGCTAGCCCAGGCTTGGCTAGCTCAGGCTTGGCTAGCGCTGGCTTCGCTGCTGGGGCCTTTGCTGCATCGGGCTTCGGGGCTAAGCCTGGCTTGGGGGCCCCCCCAACAGGAGGCTTGGGGGCCCCCAAAGGCGGCTTGGGGGCCTCCCCAGGCTTGCCTACAGGGCTGGCCTTTGCGTCTGTCTTGGGGCCCCCAGCTGCTTCTTTAGCTGGCATAGGCGCTGCCTTCTCCCCCTTAGAAACAGGGGCCCCCGGGGGCCCCCCTGGCTTGGCTGGGGTAGGAGTAGGAGGCCCTGGAGTCTTCGCATCCTTACCAGGACCCTTTGCTGGGGGGCCCCCACCAGGGGCCCCCGGGGCCCCAGGGGCCCCTGGGGCCCCTGCCTTTGGGTCCTTTGCTGGGGGTAGGCCTGGCTTAGACGGCGGCGCCGCTCCCCCCTTTGCCTGGGGGCCCCCGTCTGCCCCTGGCTTTGGGGCCCCCGGCAGTGGTGGTTTGCTCCCCTCAGGCTTGGGGGGCCCCCCTGCTGCACCCGGTAGAGGGGGCCCCCCTGGCTTCGCAGGAAGCCCTGGCTTCTCCAGGGGGCCCCCCGCCGGCTTGGGGGGCCCCTTAGCTGGTAACTCCATCTTTGCCGGGGGGCCCCCCGGCTTGGGCGATTCAGCTGTCTTTGCTGCTGCTGCTGCTGCTGGTGCTGCTGCTGGTGCTGCTGGTGCTGCTGGCTTTGCGAGGCCCCCTGTAGGTGGTTTAGGTAGTTCAGGCTTTGCTGCTGCTGCTGTTGCTGTTGCTGCTGGTGCTTTGGTGTCTGCTGCAGCACCTATCTTTGCTGCTGCAGCAGGCTTAGCTGCATCTTCTTTACCCCCAATAGAACCCCCAGGCTTTGGCAGTTCTGGCTTAGATAGAGGGAGCGAGGGTTTAGGTAGTTCAGGTTTAGATAGAGGTAATGAGGGTTTAGGGAGCTCGGGTTTGGGGGTTTGTAGCGAGGGTTTAGGGAGCTCGGGTTTGGGGGTTTGTAGCGAGGGTTTAGGCAGCTGGGGTTTTGCTGCTGCTGCGCTTGGCTTCGATAAACCCTCCTTTGCTGCCTCCTCTGTCTTCTTTGCCCCTGCACAGAACAAACCAAAAATTATATATATATATATATATATATATATATATATATATATATA